AAGCGTGTCTTTGTTACTCCATTGCCACACAAAATGGCCGACACTTTACTGACAGACAAACACTGATTCACACCAATTGATCCGACACTTGTGTCCACACATCACTCATTGGTGTCCCGAAGTGACCATCATTTGTGGCCACCGTTTGACTCGTCGACCAATTGATGGACCAATAAATGGATGCGTTTTTCTCTCGCACTTGAAATTGATGTCACATTGTATTTGTCCGTCGGATCCGTTTGAGTGATACTTTGGTCCCAACGCTATCTATTTGTCGCCGCATTCGTCTGTCGTCCGGACGCAAGTGTTATCAGTTGAGGAATGTCTGGTACGTCGACCACGACCTCCACATCCCGTTCTTCGAGACCAATGAAGAGGTCCCGCAAAAAGACGATTAAAGGGATTTGCGAATCCATTAATGAGACCAAAAGTGAGACAATTAATGGTAAATATATTTGATATGATATAAACTACGTTTGGATGAATGAACTAATAGTAGTGATAATTACAGATGAGTTATCGATAGTGACTTCCAAGTCATCGACGTCTTCATGTGTGTCCCCGCAATCGCCGTCGTCTTCGTGTGTGAGTCCTCTGCTGTTCGGTTGCCATCACTCGCCATACGATTTACGCCGAAAACTGTCGCCAATCCATGAGTCGGTTTCAGTCATATTGCACTCATCGTTGGCCACGAATTGTGGCACCACTTCATCCACGACTGCCTCAACAATACCTCCGTCTTCTCTATCGTCATCGTCGTCGTCGTCCTCCTGTTCGTCGAGTTCCAGCTCTTCCTCTTCGTGTCATTCAAACGCATCCTTTTCTATACAATCCATGAATTGTAAGAAAAAGCCAAAAAAATCTAATTTTCATCACTTGAGCGAAGGTTTGTGCGAAACGACTGAAATGTTGTCTTTGGACTCAATGTCTTGTTGTATAGGTTTAGGAACGGCTGCACTCTATCTTCTGTACGAACTGCCAGACGAAGTACTTCTTACGATATTCTCTTACCTTCTGGAACAAGACTTGTGTCGTGTATCGCAAGTCTGTAAGCGCTTCCACACCATATCAAATGACTGTGAATTGTGGTAAGTGTTGGACATTGTGTTTGCATTGGTTTGTCATTTCAATTAATGGTTGTTTAAATGTGTTTTAGGAAAACTCTTTACCATAATGTCTATGAATACGATTCGCCATTATTTCACTCGAGTTTATGTAAGTTTGAGTTCATTTCGTACGACGACTGCGAACTCGAGAACCCATGGAAAGAGTCTTTCAAGCAATTGGTATGTAATTTCTGGGCTATTGTGGCTTCAATTGGTTTTAATTTATAATATGATTGTATGTATAGTATCGTGGAGTTCACGTGAGGCCCGGATATCAGGAACAGTTTGAGGCCAACACCGAACGATATAAGGGTCGGAATATAACATACTTCGACCGAATAGAACAGGCGTTCACGTACTCCGAAGAGTTAGAAAATTCACTAATATTTATTCACACCGGAACTTATAAGACTGAATACCTCATCATTGACTCCAGTGTGGCACTCATAGGGGCCGGTATGACAACCATTCATTTATCATATTGTTTACCATATTATTAATGACTTGTATATATTGATAGCTCCGGGAAATATCACCGAAAACGTAATCCTCGAGAAGGACAGCGAGTCTACGATCACATTCGTTGAGGGCTCGCGAGACGCTTACTTGGGTTACCTGTCGCTGAAGTTTACGCCCGACGTGACCTCATCCGTGTCACACCATAAACACTACTGCCTTGAAATCACGGACAACTGTTCGCCAACGATCGACCACTGCGTGATTCGCAGCACATCCATAGTGGGGGCGGCCGTATGCGTGACGGGCACCGGCGCTGAGCCCGTGATCCGCAACTGTGACATCAGTGACTGCGAGAATGTGGGTCTCTATGTGACGGACTTTGCGCAGGGAATCTACGAGGAGAACGAGATCAGCCGTAACGCGTTGGCCGGCGTTTGGGTGAAGAATCACGCGAACCCTATAATGCGTCGAAACCATATACATCACGGCCGCGACGTCGGAGTGTTCACGTTTGACAACGGGTTGGGCTATTTCGAGGCCAACGACATCCACAACAATCGGATCGCCGGCTTCGAAGTGAAGGCCGGAGCGAACCCGACTGTAGTGCGGTGTGAGATACATCACGGCCAGACCGGTGGCATCTATGTGCACGAGTCCGGTAGGGGTCAGTTCATTGAGAACCGCATTCATTCCAATAATTTTGCCGGCGTTTGGATTACATCGCAAAGTAATCCCACGATTAGACGCAATGAGATCTATAACGGACATCAGGGAGGGGTCTATATCTTCGGTGAGGGCCGCGGACTCATCGAACACAACAATATATACGGCAACGCTTTGGCCGGCATTCAGATCCGGACGGCTAGCGACCCGATCGTGCGGTACAACAAGATCCACCATGGGCAACACGGCGGCATCTATGTCCACGAAAAGGGTCAGGGATTGATTGAGGAGAACGAGGTGTACGCCAACACATTGGCCGGCGTTTGGATCACGACTGGGAGCACACCTGTGCTCAGACGCAATCGGATCCATTCGGGAAAACAAGTGGGCGTTTACTTCTACGACAACGGACACGGAAGGCTCGAAGAGAACGACATATTTAATCACTTATATTCAGGCGTTCAGATTCGCACCGGAAGTAATCCAGTGATCAGAAGGAACAAGATATGGGGCGGACAGAACGGCGGGGTTCTCGTCTATAACGGCGGTCTCGGAGTGTTGGAACAAAACGAGATCTTTGACAACGCGATGGCCGGCGTTTGGATCAAAACCGATAGCAATCCAACGCTGCGGAGGAATAAGATATATGACGGCCGAGACGGTGGTGTCTGTATATTCAATGGTGGGAAAGGAGTTCTCGAAGAGAACGATATCTTCCGCAACGCTCAGGCGGGGGTTCTTATAAGCACTCAAAGTCATCCGGTTTTGCGGCGGAACCGTATATTCGATGGTCTGGCGGCGGGCGTCGAGATCACGAACAACGCCACCGCAACCCTTGAGTTCAATCAGATATTCAATAATCGATTCGGCGGTTTGTGTTTGGCGTCTGGGGTTCAGCCCATTCTCAAGGGAAATAAAATATACGACAATCACAACGCCGTCGAGAAGGCTGTCAATAGCGGTCAGTGCCTCTACAAGATCTCCAGTTACACTAGCTTTCCTATGCATGACTTCTACAGGTCTGTTGATTATTGCACTCATTCTTATGCTCAATATATAGTGATTAATGTTTTGCCATTGTATGCGATGACAGGTGTCGTACGTGTAATACAACCGATCGTAACGCCATTTGTGTGAATTGTATTAAAACATGTCATTCCGGCCACGACGTCGAGTTCATCAGACACGACAGGTTTGCCATAGCATTGCTTGTATGCGAAGACATGTTAACAATGTTTGTTTGTATTGAATGAATAGGTTTTTCTGTGATTGTGGAGCGGGAACTCTGAGCAATCAATGCCAACTGCAAGGAGAGCCCACTCAAGACACGGACACTCTCTATGATTCTGCGGCGCCCATGGAATCGCATACTCTTATGGTTAACTGACAGCCAATCCGACTCACATAACCACAAATCTATCCAATCTTTGGTCTAATTTAAAACAATTTTAGGCAAATTTCATGGAATTTGAAATCATATTTTGGTTTATATATAGGAAAAAATCATATCTTTTTAATTGAACGATTGGTTTAACTGATATTTTTAGTCCAATTATTGCCAAAAAGAGCGTGAAATCAGTGCAGAACTGCTTAATTTTGAACCTTGTTTTTGATAGTGAGCGCCAATTTTGATTAGAAATATATACTGTATATACAAATAATATAAACAATTTTTGGTCAGTATTTTTGATTATTTTCTTATATTCACACACAATGTCGTGACAAATGGCACCGAAAACATAGCGACAGATATAATACAATTCATGTTAACTCATATTTTTTTCGGTGCAACCATTGCTGCAAAACAAACAACAAAATACACAAAATAATTAATGCATTAATATTTAAATAATTGAGAAAAATTATGTTAAACTCCTGTCTCTCTATCTCTCTGTTCGTGTGGTATAAGGAAAATGGGATTCTATTCTATATATTATGTGCCAAAATATCCATTTAATTACTTTCTATACTAAACATTGTTTTTTAATTTGTAAAAAACAAAATCAAATTGTACTTCAAATGCCTCTTTAAATTTGTCAATTTCACTCAAAAACGCGACACATTTTTGCAAATATAGTTTCAATAGTTTCTATAGTTTATTATTATTATTTTTGGATAAATTATTTTTCACATATTTTAGACACATTTTAGTATTTTATAACATATTTTATGCTCTCATCACATGTGCTGAACAGTAAAAGCGACGAAAATGTGTTGATTTTGACGTGAAGTTCACTTCTTTATACCATATCTTTTGTCTATATATTTAGTGAATGCAGAACCGAAAGGAACCGATAAATAGCTTCTAAGCCTAACCTATAGTGCAATTCTGTTATTCACACCTTTCTCTACGATAACAACAAACTTCAATAACTTTATTCATGTGTTTATATTTTGCACAATATTTTCAATTTGATAATCAATGCGTCTAATGGTCTCAATTCGACAAAACAATTGCCACTCAATATAAATATATAAATAAATACTATTATAAATATATATATTATAAATATAAATATATGTTATAATTAATAAATTAAATTTCCATAAAATATACATTAGTTTACCATTTATTTCTGCGAAATAATGTTTTAATATTTATATACAAATTATATGCCAAATATTGGGTCACAAACGACATCCAAAAGTCACATAAGGGCTGGCATTGAATATGAGATACAAACTCAATGAATGATTAATTAATTTACTGATGAATTCAACAAAAATTTTGATTAAAAAAGAGAATTAATTAGAAATGAACATAAATTTAATGGTATTTTTATAATGAAAATAATATTGAGATATAAATTAGTTTTTCTCCGCAAACCGCACATGTATTTCTGATTTCTCGGTTATTAGTTGTGATAATTTGTATCATAATTTGCATAATTATTCGTATATTTTATGTACGATTGTTAAATCGTTATTGAAAATGTGATTCACGCAATTAGAATTAGAAATTGAGCTCAATTTGCTTGCATTTTAAGGTTTAATTAAATTAAAATTCATGATTTAAGTATTATTCTTATACTTAATGTTGTTTATTGTGAGTTATATTTAGGCCGAAAGGGAAGTATATTTTTCTAAAAGATATTGTGTTCTCACATAAAAAGGATGTAAACTATTCAGGGATCGTCTCTTTTATGTTAATATTATACATGAGTTGAGTTATTGTATGAGTTTTACGTGTTTTAAATTTTTAAATAATTGAGTTTCAAATACAGTCCGCGAATTGAATCCAATTTTTGTATTATTGACTTAATTCTGTGTCAAGAATCAGGAGTCGGCACTCATTCACACATTTGCTTTATTCAGTGAACGACTAAAACAAGAATTTACACAAAATTTATATCAAAATAGACGAAAACTTTTTTGTATCTAAAATAGGAATTTATTTAAATAAATGGAAAAAGAAATAATTAATGCATTTTGTTGTTAAACACAATACTGTACTTAATTTAGTACTTCATTAAGTGTTCATTATTTTCTAATTACATAATTAGTAAAGAAGACATCAATTATAAAGCATATCATTTATCCTGGAAATGCATTAAATTTTATTATAAAGTAGTTTTTTATTAAAACATATCTTTTTTACTCTAATTTTCATATCTCTAACAAATGATTTTTACAATAAATAAAACAAATGATTAAGTATTTGAAAGGAAATTGAATTCTCGTTTTCTTATTGATAAGAATTGTGTTAAGAATTTTAAATATAAAGCAAATTAAAGATCAAAATGCAAAAGAGGTCTACAATATTGTCTAATGTATATTATATTATATCACACTTTCTATCTAATTAATGAATGTTTGATATGAATACTAAATATACAGACATTTTAATCTACTAAAGTATTTGAAACGCTAGTTAAAAGATAATAGTTAAGAATTTTAACTGAACTAAAATAATGTTTTTATTACATATTCAGTGAATTTCAACTGAAGTAATAAAGAAATATATGCTTTAAATTATTGCTGGCCAATCTAGTATACCAGGTATACTTAGTGTAGCCACATGTTCTACTAAAATATCTAACATAAATATAACCATAATTAATTGATTAAATTTACAATTGACAGACATTTTACATTATAATTAAATATAATTATATTTAATATAAGAGGCACAACGTGGAACAATTTTGGATCTACTTTTAATTGTGAACAATTTTTTTCTCTAATGAAATCGTTTAAAAATGACAAAACTAGTAGTATTTACGCAAAAACATTGAGATCACGTTTGAAAACATGGTCATTAAATACGATTGAGTCAAATATCAATAAAATTGTTGATAATCACAAACAATACCACAAATCTCATTAAAATGTGTATTTAATAATTAAATTTTGTTTAAAATGTCATTTTATGGATAGACTGAAAAATAAGTGAGAAACTATTAGGTTGACCTTCACGCGGTGTTTCTTGTTTAATACTGACAAACCTACTTTTTTACCGACCGTTGCGCCACCTTTTTATGGCATACTGTGAAACCGTATTTGTTATACGCTAAAAAAGATTGGCCAGGCTTACTTTAAATGTTCATGAAACATTTATTTAATAAAATAAAACTAAAATAATTTACTAAAATTTCATAAATATTTAAGTTTTAGAAAGTGTGTTGTGATATGTTTTATAAATCATTTGTATGAATATTCTAGAAAGTAGTGAACGATGATTTTAATTAACAATATACTAATACTATTAACAATACTAATGTTTATATTAATACAATACAGTAAGCATAACAATATACCGATAGATTTAAGACTTTTAACCTTCAAAATGATTGAAAAATATTTGTCCAAAACTTGAGACATAATTAAATTACAGAAGTTTTTGCAAAACGAAAATTGGCATCAATTTAGTTGTTTGTATTGAGATGTGATCAAACAGTGCGCTCGCAGTCAGTACTACAATGTCTACATTTATAGGATTTCCCGTTTATCAACTTATTTACCTTTCCTTCAATCCATTTATCCGATGTATTCTTCTTCTTATTCTTTCGGCAAATCATTCAGTCTTTAGGATATGATAACAATTTCGTAAAGAATTATTATACTTGCAGTTATTACCTGTCCATTAGAAATAGCATTTTATATTCATTTAATTGTAAAACCAAATTTATTTGTCTCGTAAAATATACGGTTCTCTAAACGTGGCGTAAATTAAACAGAATTTGCTTAAAATAAACGAATAAACATTTTATTGTCAAAAATGTTATAAATATATAATGAGAAGCAAAATATAACAAAAATTTTGCTCAACTTAACTGAATTAATGCAATCAAATAATAA